GATGTCAAATGCACAAATTCGTTTATTTATAACTAAAAATATTCTCGAAATTTTTTTTAAAAAAATGCATTTGCGACAATACCTAAATGAAATTCTTACGCAAGAAACAAAAATTGTACAATTAACACAATTTGTTTTCGCAAAATTAATTTTGAAAATTTTTGTCACTGTTTCGAATAACTCCACCGACCACCTTCCCATCTCTGATCAAGAGGAATTAATAGACATTTCATGCAACAGCAGACTCAAGAGTTGTTTTGCAGAGCAATCACTGAGTAATTTTTGGGCTGACCTAAAAGACATTTATCATGTCAGCGAAGCCGCTAACATTAAAATTAAATAACCTGTTAGCATTAAAATTAAATAACCTTATGTTGTTTTCATTATTATTATTATTAGAATTGTATTTTAAAGGTAATAAATGTAAAAAAACTTGTTCTGTTTATCACTAGCTGTCTACCCACAGCTTCACCCGCATTATATCGAATTTTCTCGTGGGAGTAAGGTATTTTCTCACAGTAAAATGTAGCCTATGTCCATCTCCAACATGTAAGCTATCTCTGTGCCAAATTTTATTAAAACCTGTTCAGCGGTTTACACATGAAAAGGTGACAGACAGACAGAATTACCTTCGAATTTATATTAGTATGGATTAATATAAATTTCTGCTATAAGGGATACACAATTTTGAGCTCTTTCTTGAAGTGGTACGCAGGAAAAACTAATTAGGAACCACTGCTCTATTGGAATGTTATTTTATATTATATGGGGTCTAGAGTTAAAATGGTATAATCATTGCTGTTATGTTAGTTGAAACTAATTTAAAGAAAATTTTGTGAAAATAGTTTATTGTAAATTAATTTCTTTTTGTTTTATCTAAATATAGATCAATGTTTCTTTTTTTTCTACTTACTGGTAGGTTTGTGGGTTTGTAGTAGGGGACACTATACAGTCGACCCCCCCCCTATAAGATCATAGATACGTTTCATTTTTTAGGAATCCGATTTCTTACGAGTCGTTCCAATCACAGCTCGACACGTGTGAAGTTTACGGACTACGACTGATTGAAAGGTTTTCTTCCATAAAATTAATCGATTCTAGACTAATCCGACTCAACATTTTCAAAATACGTATATTTTTTTTGGAAATAATCCATATAAACTACGCTATAAACAAAAAATTGTAGGATTACTTACCGAGTGTGCACTATTAGACATCCCCATTGCTAAAGCTTGTTTTCGTCGCGGAACAACTCAGCAAATGGCGGCCGATTTCTAACAACTTATTTTTCTGTGAAAACTTCGTAGAACTTTGGAGACATCATTAATATAAATAATTTTAATCGCCGTTGAATAAGAAATGTTTCTTTCACAAGAAATGTATAAAATTACAGTACTGTATTAGACTTACGGTACCTAATTTACATACTGACAGACGATAGTTAGCGTAAAAATCTCCGTAGCGTGGCGCCACGCTAGACGGCGGAAATTATATATTTAATTATAACAAAGTTACAATAAGTTAATATATAATTATATATACAGTACCTAATTTATATATAATTAATATATAATTATATGTACAGTACCTAATTTATATAATACTGTCCAGATGATAGAAATCTCTCTGTAGCGTGGCGCTACGGACGGCGGGAAAGTAGTTCGGCTGCCCAATGACGTTTAACGTAATTATAGGGGGTTTTGTACTGTTTTTTACGGATACCGGTCACAATTTTTTCGCAGTTTTATAGGAATCGTAATTATTGGGACCGTAATTATAGGGGGGTCGACTGTAATTGATTTCAATGTGAACATATCGTTAGCTTTCAGTTGTCTGTTCAAGTTGCAAGTTATACTTGCAATTCACGTGTATCACACTGCATAATCAGCAACCTTGTGACGTGTATGTAGTGTTGTATGTACCAAATTTATAAAAAATTTTTGTTAGTATGGGTCACAGTAAGAGTTCAGAAGAACTATAGTTTGACTGCCCTAGCTACATAGTGTTGTATAGTTTGTTTTTTTTTTTTTAAATAAAAAAACCTTCAGCATATTATTTTCTACATATTATTGCATATTTTATAGTGATTTTTTTATTATCAGTTCTTAATATTAATGCTTCAAGCTTAATCATTTTGTTTTCTCATATTCTTCAGGTTCAAATATAACTTAATAATTTTAATTGAAGATTTTTGTTTTCTGAAAATTTTTTGTCATTTCTTCTTTGCCATATCAATACATAGCTGCTTTTTAGTTTTTATGTTTAAATATAACAAAGACTAAATCAAAGCATTTCATACAAAATGTAAAAACAAATATGCCAATGAGATATGATATTTCTAACAAGAAGCAATCTTTTAATAAAATTATTTTTATATAAGTAAAATAAGAAGTAAAATCTAAGATTATAATTTCCTCTTCATTTTCTTTTAATTTACAAAAATGTTTAGATTGTGTGTATTACGAAAATGAAAAATGTTACAAACGATAAAGCTGGGTTAACTGTAAAGTTATAACTTAGCTAATTAATATCAGATACTACATAATTTTGACTATAGATAAGCAATATGTATCTATGACATTAATTAGACAAGTTCTAGTCCAATTGTTAATCCAGCCTTATCAGTAGAATAATTTTGGTTTAGTTGTGTGTGTATATATTATAAATGTTGCTTTCAAGAAAATAATTTTTAATGATACTTCAAAAATAATAATAAAATTGTTGAAATATATACTGAATGGATTTGCTATACAGATAGTATGATGTAAAATTTAAAATGATATATTGGTAGCTTTAATTACTAACAAAACATTTATTTATTTATTTTAGTATGAGACAGAAGATCAAGCTTCAGAAACTAGACAAGCACTTCATGCAACAAGGTGGCCACCTTCAAATCCTAAAACACTCATAGTAGATTTTGCAACAAAAGAAGAGGTAGTTTTAATTAATATTCTTATGTAAGAATTAATTGAATAGTAGAATAGTATCACAAAATGCAACATCATATGAAAATTCTGTATTCTATAAGAAATACCAGGTGTATAAGCTTAAATCCACTGTTTTTTAGTCAGTTTTTTCTTAGAAAGCAAAAACAAATTTATTCAAAGTACTTTCCCTCACTAGCGACACATTTTTTCCATCTCTCGAGCAATGTGTGGATACCATGCCAAAAAAATTCCTTCTCTTTCGAGGCAAACCACTCATCAAGCCATTTTCAGGTATCTTCGTAAGAATTGAAGTGCCGCTCAGTGAGCGCATGGCCCATCGATTAAAACAGGTGATAGTCAGAAGGGGCCAGGTCTGGTGAATAAGCAGGATGGGGTAGCACCTCCCAGTTGAGTGTCTCCAAGTAGTTTCGGACCAATGTTGACACATGCGATGGTTCATTGTTGTGGAGGAAAATCAGCTTGTCGTGTCTTTGCTATTAATCCGGCCTTTTTTCACATAGTGTGTACATTTGAGCTTCCTTCATCTCCTTTTGTTTATTTCATTTACAGGACAATGAGTTTAAAGTTTTTTTATCATACAAATATTATTACAGTTGAACTTAATTAATTTGAATTATTGAGCAAGTTAAATCTTCTGTTACTTTCTTTGAAATTTACATTTCAGTTAGTGTTTCAATCATTTAGAAGTTGTGACAAAACCATAACTCCAGCATGTCATAATACTGAGTAATTCTGGTTAGTTTTTTCACCAAATTTTGAAAGATTTATAAACTTTATCTTTTGTCAAGGCACAAAACAAATATATAACATTAGATGAATATTTAACAGCTTTTTGTGTAATTTTTATCTTTTAAAAGAAATTAGTTGTATATGTTAAACATAAATAAATGAAATGCTATAAAATAAAATTTATTATATTGTATATTGCAGTTAGATTATCATAAAGATTTACCAGATATTCCTAAATTGCAAAATAAGGAAAAATCTGAAGAAAAGAAAAGTGGAACATTATCTAATAATTCCAAAAAAAGGGATGATGATTATGATAAAAGAAGAGAAAAACAAAAAGATGAGAGAATGATACAACATCCAATTAGAGAATGGGATAGAGATAAATTAACTCAAGATTCTCCAGAACATGATAGGAGGACAAAAGATAGAAGTAGAGAAAGAGGTAGAAGTCCAGATAGGAGAGAGAAAAAGGAGAAAAAAGGTGAATATGAATTATCATTATTATTATTATCCATAAAACTCAATTTCTAAATTAAAAACATTTAGAAAAATAAGTTTTGCATTGTTTAATATTCCGACCTTAGTTTAAAATTAGTTACATGTAAAATTTTTTTGTATTTTAAATGTACAATAGAGCATCGATTATCCGACCCCCGATTAACCATCACATCGGTTAACCGACCGTTCTAGTCAGCAAATTCAAATGTCCGCTAGTGATGTGGCACTACAATATTTGGCTATGTCTTGGCTACTTTAATAGTATTTTTACGTGTATTAGCTGGCAACATGGCTCAACCATATAAGGGAGCCAGTATTTAAACGAGGCTAATTTTTTGGTTTTCTAATTTTTAACGATACAATAGCGACAATTATTATTTTAAAAAAAATTTGTTAGGCTTAACATCGATGAAAATTCAACGCAAAGTAGGTTAATAGCGATATACTAATTACATGAGATATACTAATATACTATACTAATAATGTATTTTTTCATATTTTTTGGTTATCCGTTTTTTCAGTTATCCGACCAACCCCAGTTCCCAATTGAGTCGGATAATCGATGCTCTACTGTATTTCTAATATTTATCAAAATGTCACATTTTTTTTCAAAATAATTTAGACACAATTTTTCCTTATATTCTTTATAATTAGGACTTTAGTTCTTTTGAATTAAGCACAAAATTGTTGTGGAGGGTTTATTTTAGTGATTTTTATTGTTTTATTTTAAAGTTTTATGTTTTATCTATTTTTTTTATTATTTGCCAATTTTTCTATATTTTAATAAGTTTTACATTTTCAATTTTACAGTTTTACTTATTTTATTCTTACATTTTTTAAATACAGTAGAACCTTGAAAACTCGGCGTAATGTGGACTGAAGAGTGGCCGAGTTCGTGAAAATGCCGGGTTATCGGGAATGGGATTAAAAAAAATAAGTACGAGTGTTTCCTCAGAAAATACTGTACTGTACTTGTATGTATTGTTTACTTGAGAATATAACAGAGAATAAACTGCCCAAATACCCTTAAACAAAGGAAAAGTACGTCTTTTATGAAGGCATAGAGCCTTTATTATATGAAAATGAAAATTAATGAATACACTGTGTACAGTAATTTACCTGATAAGACAGACCTCAGAAAAATACTTTATGAGAGCTTTTATAAAGTTGTCTATAATGAAAATTAATTAACTAAGGATTTTTTTGCCCTGCCAGGGTGTGGCCAAGTTATCTGGAGTGCCGGGTTATCGAGAGCCGAGTTTTCGAGGTTCTACTGTACTTAGTTATTCATTAGAATAACTAAGTATTTAAAAAATGTAAGAATTAGATTATCATTCCAGTTTCAATATTATACATTAAAGACTAAAGAGAGGAAAATAGCTCAAAATTTATTTTCTTTTGTAAAAAATAGAAAATAAAGTGTTTTATCGAATTTTCTATTTAAAAAGTGTTCCTGTGTGATAAGTTCTCCACAGCAATTTTGTTTGTTGATTTAAGTTAGGATTGAGATTTCCTGACATCAGCTACAGAAAATAGAAACTAATTTATCTTAAAAATATTTTATAAGCTTTACTGTGATCTAGATCAGTATTAAAAATGCTGATCTAGATCACAGTAAAGGATTCATAATTAAGTATATCATAGTAGATCATAATTAATTAAATTGGAAGTAAACTATTAAAAGTGTGTCATTGTTTAACAAAGTTTTAAACTCTGTTAATTTAAGTCTGCCTGTGGCCTGCAGACAAATTTGAATTACTTTAGTAATTAAAACTTTGTTTGATGATGATACACTTTTAATACAGTGAAACCTGATTAACTCAAATCTGTTGGGGAGAAAAATTTGGACTTTGAGTTAAAAAATTTTGAATTACAGGTTTGGCTAAAATGAAGATCATTGTGCATTGGTTTATTGATGACCCATGATAAACAATCCATATGATATTTCTGTGGGTCTTATTACATAGAATCAATATGTCAATGTAAACCTTGGTGTTGTCCAGAAACTGAAATACTTTCCTGAATGGTTGATCCATTTTTTAAATTGCAATGTTTTGCACCTAGAATTAATTTGTTTTTATTTTTATCACAAATATACCACTCTCTACAATTGTTATATATTTAAAATTTTTACATAAAATCTGACTATAATCTTTTTTTTTTTTCTAAATTAATTTATCAAAAGTCCATTTATTTATTACATCGGCTAGTTGGAGAATCCATCAGCAATCAGTTAAAGCCAAAAAAATTTTTATAAATCTTGAGGAGAGCTGAAAGCTGACATGTCATGTAACAATGTAAGCCACCACCTTGCCCAATGTCATGTGACACAATGTGTTTTTTGGGTGACAATTTGAAAAAATTGTAGATTATAAATTCCTACAGTCATCTGTCTTCCCTTTCTTAATCTCAAGAATAGAGTTAGATAGATGAAGGCTGAGACCACATAAGGAAAACTTAACGCCACAAGCTGAAGCCAATTAATTATATACAAACTTCCAATGCAAATCAGAAGTCAATTATTTCAGTTCAAAAATTTTCCCTGAAGGGAGTTAGATGATCAGCATGGCTCTATTGTTACCAGGAAAAGCTTGGTGTACAGGGTAAGACACTACTAATTTGAGGTAAAGAGCATATATTTTAAATTAAATTAATTAAAAAATATGATTAAAATTGCAGCATGGCATTGTGACAATGTCACAATAAATATTTGCTCATTAGTTGTATGAATGAGCAAATTTTTTCCAGTGCTTTATAGAAAGTTTTTGATTAGTTTATTCAATAGTTGAGCATTAATTATATTATTTAAATTAATTTAAAAATTTTGGAGTGTTTATGAAAATACTGTAGCAAAACCCAATTCAAGTTAACCAGTTTGATTTAACATGTAAATCTCCATGCTAGATGATTGGGAAAAGAAAATGACTTCAAATTAAACAAGTTCTATTGTTTACTTCCATTTTAATTGTTTTCATATGTATTCAATATGTGCTTTTAGATTAATTATGTTATAAATTGCACATTATATTCAAATGTTGGTAATACCTAGAGAGGTTTAAAAAAATTATATCTACATAATTTAGTGGTCCATAGAATTTTTTTTACTGATCCTTTGGCTTAAAATGGTCAAGAGATGCTGATCTAGATATATCTGTAAAAGTAATTTTCTAAATTAAATAATTTAATTTTTAAAAAATAATGAATGAAATTACTATAAATTTAAAGTTATTCACAAGATTAATATAAAAAAAATTAACTCATGTCCAATATATTATTTTTACTATATAAAATGTAGTTTTTTAATTTTTTTTTTTAATTTAAATTTTGGCCAGGCTGTTCTGATGCATAGTAGCCAAGATAAGTTTTATGTTAGCATATAAATTTAACATGATTAATTAAAATGATTAAAACTGATATTGACTGAACATTCTGGAAATATTTATAATAAATACAGCCTGTACTTTCCTTAATTTCAAATATATAGGCTTATTTAGCAGTTGTGTTTGCAAGACACCAATGGTTAACTGGAGGCAAATGGATATTTTTAAGTCAAAACTAAGTTACAAACTACTAAAATTTTTAAATAATTTTTTATTTACAGATTCAAAGAGAAAACAAGAAGAAGAAACACCTGCCAAATTATTGGATGATTTGTTTCGTAAAACCAAATCTACTCCTTGTATTTATTGGCTACCATTAACTGAAGAACAGGTAAATAATTTAATTCTATGTTATAATACAGTAATAATTATTATTGTAATTACTACAAATAGAAACATAAAATGATTTTTCTTATATTAAAATTTTTTGTTCTTACAATTGAGCTTTGCTTCAAATAGAATAATTCTCAAAAAAAAAAAATTTAATTTTAAATTTCTACAGCTTCAAATGAAGTTAGCCTGACTGTCTTGCTCAGACCACAGGAAAACAAAAAATTGAGCAATGAAAAATATTTATTAAATATTCATAATTAATTCACTGACAGTTCAAAACTCAACATATCAATCAGATGAAGCTTCAAGCTTTATAAAATTAATATATATATATATAATGTGACATGGCTTTGTTAGAACACAATGAAAAAAATTTATAAAGATGCCTTTTGTATTTTTTTGATAACCATAACAATTATTTAGTAAAGAACTATACCAGAAACAAATACGTGGGGGGACCAAAAATAACCAGACTTTTTGTATAAAAACTTTATTTATTAACTTTTTTACAAAATTTCTTCAGTCACTTTCAAAGTACTCTCCATTAGATACGATGCACTTGTGAAATCTTTTTCTCCACTGTTTGAAACATCTCTGGAATCTTCAACCTTGATATCGTCCAGTTCCCTTAGCAAAGCTGTTTTTACCGCCTCCACATCATCAAAATGCTTCCCTTTTAGATTTTTCTTCATTCTCGGAAACAGAAAAAAGTCACACGGGGCTAGGTCTGGTGAATACGGAGGGTGGGAAACAACAGGCCATCTTCGAGAGGCTAAATAGTGAGTCACTCGCAAGGCTGTGTGTGCGGGGGCATTGTCATGATGAAGGAACCAGTCACCTGATTGCCAAAGTTCCGGGCATTTCCTTCACACACACTCTCGCAGACATCTTAACACTTTTTTGGCAGATTTTTCAACATTTTCATCGTTTCAAAGTGTTGAAGGACTCCCAGAACTTTGCAGGTGGAACAAAATAAGAGTAAGAGAAACACAACACTACACTCAAACGTAAACCTACAAACTGACACCATTTGGACAGCTGTTTCGTGAAGGTCTCTACTAACCTCATGTAACAGGAGAATTCTCTACTATGTCTACGAATGGCAGCACACTCTCAGTTCAGTTTTTTTTTTTTTTTTTTTTCCCCTCATAGAATTACTCTATGAATATTGTTTTACATTAGATTTGTAGGTCATTAAATGATAAAAGTATGTAATGCATATTATTTTCTTCAAAATTATGCACTTTTTTAAATGAATAAAACACAATAAAAATAATAATTCACAAAATGAAATATTTTAATTTATTTGTATTGTTTTAAAAGTTGAGATAAGTTATTGTATTCTGCATTATAATATAGTGCTTTTTCTTGAATTTTAGAAAATTAGGGAGTGTTTTTTTTTGTGTTTTTTTTTTTTTTTTCTTTAAATAAAAACTGGCATGATGTAAGTCGTGATATTGTTTCACTTTCTCATAGCAATCAAAAGATTACTGACTCCTATCCTAGCTTAATGTAAATATGCATATTCCTTTTAATTTTTTTGTTATAATTTGATTTAAGTTTGTTTAAAAATATTGAAAAATTATTCTGTCTAGATACAAAAATGAATAAAAATGAAGGTGTTTTATAGCCTATCTAATAACATGGCTTATATTATATGTGGTTCATGTCATCAGATTTTTGATTATTTGGCCTATTGCCATTCTGTTAGGCTGTATAATTGAAACTCAAACACATGTAAATTTAAACCTGATAAGATTAATTAAATACCATCAGTAATCCAATACTTTAATTAATAGAGAAGATATGGATATAACATTGTTAAAGACAAATAGTCTTCATTTTTTTGTTTCTCTTTAGTTCTTACATGCATGTTTTTATTCAGATTATTTATTCTATGCTGTTGGGGATTTTTATAAGATAGGCTATATTTCTCAAATTATAGGCACTTGCAGAAATTGTAGTAGTTTCTATTTAGAATAGAATTTTTAGATAGTTGAAAATATAGAAAAGCTCCTTGTCAAATAGAAGTATTCATATACTTATATATAAGAGGTGGCAAACTTAAACCTATACTTTTAAAATTTGCCAATGGATATGCAATTCCTGAGACTCATTGTCAACTGAACTCATTCAAAAATTTTTCAAAGTTTATGGAATAAATATTGCTAAAAGATGATGAAATTTCAGTTTTTAATACTAGCTGAATGGAGAATTGAAATTATTTGAATAGAATATATTGATAGAATAGCCAGTTTTAAATACAGAACAAGAAATAGAGGAAATGAAAATGATATTGAAATTTTGTAACAAAAACTACACAGGGTATTATAGAAAATATTAATAAAGGGGTATTAATAAATAATTATTAAAAAATAAGTTCAAGTTTTTAAATTAAAATATATAAACACTCAAAATAAAAACATTCCTTGTACCTTAAAGAAAAGTGAGAACATACAAATTCTAAATAAAGGAAGATTCAAAAGATTGTTTTAATCTGAAAATTACATTATAATTTTAAACATTTATATTGTCTTAAATTATTTATTAATTTAAAGTAACAGTTTGTGTAAAATGATATAACAGTTAATAATATTTACTTTTTACTTAAATTATTCTTTACTTTTTAGAAACATTGATTAATTCTGAAAAAATAGCCATTACATTAGAGTATTGTTTATCCGAATCAATTGGGGACTGGGGTTGTTCTGATAACTTATTTTTCGGATAACCAGTTATGTACGGAAAAATATATTAATTTATCCCGTGTTGAAATTTTTCTCCGTTGCGTGTCGCTTCGTGTTGAATTTTCGTCGATGTTAAGCCTAACGAAGACTATTGTATCATTAAAAATTATTTTTTTATTTTGTACAAACAAAATAAATATATTGAAAAATATAAAAACAATAAAAAATTATACTTCAGAAGTTAATTTAGTATCAAAAACGTAAAATATTTGAGTAGCTGAAGACATAGCCAAAGATCACAGCGCCACAGCACTGGCGAAAATTTAAATTTGTTGACTGGAATTCCTTCGAATAAATGACGCTCTACTGTATTTATTTTTCTTTTACAATTATCAAATAATATGAATATATATATTCTTTTATTACATAGAGAGTTATTTAACAATTTCATTCACTAAATGTATGCTTGATATGTAGTCAAGTTGTAATGTTTGTAAAATTTTGTCACTTTATATACATTGGACAAATTATTCATAACTCAATGAATAACAAAGTAATGAGTTAAAGTATGTGTATATAAAATATTTTTTTTTATAATTATTTTGGTATTTTATGAAAAATTTGCAAGAATTGTACAACATATATTATAACCATCTTCCTTACAAACTAATCTATTTAGATACATGTGTGTTTTTCCATGTCCATATTTATCATAGACAGAGAGCATAAGATATAAAATATTTGTCACTTTTAAATATGCATTCTTTTGTTAAGCATAGTCATGACTAGTCATTTTTTACAACAATTTTTTTTAAAATCAGTGTCACTAGTTATAGACATTGTTGTTTATTCCTTTGTTTTTTTAGTGTTTCTTCTTGTATTCATTTGGTTATATTGTAGTAGTGCTCTACCTTGATATTACAAAAAATTGGTTGATTTAAAAAATTTTCATTATACAGTAGGGTGTCGATTATCTGAATCAATTAGGGACTGGGGTTGTTTGGAAAATCAATTTTTCGGATAACCGATTTTGTACAAAAAAATACATTACAGTCGACCCCCCTATAAGATAGAGATACGTTCCATTCTCTAGGAATCCGCTTTCTTACGAATCCTTCCAATCACAACCCGACACGTATCAAGTTTACGGACTACGGCTGTTTGAAAGATTTTCTTCCATAAAATTAATCGATTCTAGACTAATCCGACTCAACATTTCCAAAATACGTATATATTTTTTGGGAATAATCCGTATAAACTACGCTATAAACAAAAAATTGTAGGATTACTTACCGAGTGTCACCATTCGACATTGCCATTGCTCAACATTGTTTTCGTCGCGGAACAGCTCAGCAAAGAGCGGCCGATTTCTAACAACTTATTTTTCTGTGAAAACTTCGTTGAACTTCGGAGACATCATTAATATAAATAATTTTAATCGCCGTTGAATAAGAAATGTTTCTTTCACAAGAAATGTATAAAATTACAGTACTGTATTAGACTTACGGTACCTAATTTACATACTGACAGACGATAGTTAGCGTAAAAATCTCCGTAGCGTGGCGCCACGCTAGACGGCGGAAATTATATATTTAATTATAACAAAGTTACAATAAGTTAATATATAATTATATATACAGTACCTAATTTATATATAATTAATATATAATTATATGTACAGTACCTAATTTATATATAATTTATATAATACTGTCCAGACGATAGAAATCTCTCCGTAGCGTGGCGCTACGGACGGCGGGAAAGTAGTTCGGCTTCCCGATGACGTTTGAGATGTTTATAGGGAACTTTTACTATTTTTTATGGATACCGGTAGCAATTTTTTCGTAGTTTTATAGGAATCATAACTATAGGGACCGTAATTATAGGGGGGTCGACTGTATTAATATTATATTATATACTATATATTAATATAACCCATATTTAAATTTTTCTCCGTTGCCTGTCAAATCGTGTTGAATTATCATCGATGTTAAGCCTAATAAAAATTTTTATAATAATAATTGTGGCTATTGTATTGTTAAAAAGTATTTTTTTTATTTTGTACAAACAAAATAAATATATTGGAAACTATAAAAACAAAAAAAATGATACTTTAGAAGTTAATCTAGTATCAAAAACATTTGATTCAGCATGACACAGTCCGACTGGAATGCTTTCAGTTAACCAGTGTTTCGGATTATTGACACTCTGCTGTATTAGTGTCAAGTCCAAAAGTGGGTTATAGATAGGATTACATATTTTAAGAATTACTATTTATACTTTTCTCATTTAAGAAGAGAGACATTCGATTAACTCAATAAATAAAATTTAACTTTTCATGTTTGTTAGATACATCAGCGAGAGCAAGAAAGAAAGCAGAGACAGATTGAAAGAGAGAAGAGAAGACAGCAAAGAGATCAGGAGGATAGAGAAAGAGAAGAAGCTGAACGATTACAAAGGCAAAAGGCTAGAGAAAATCGTTCAGGGAAAGATAAAGTAATAATTTTTATGATATACTATTGATTATTATAAACATAATTAATTTTGAAAATTCTTAAGTTGTTTATTGTACTGTTTCAGGAGAATGCTCAGCAGAGCAGAAGTCCACTTGGAAGGAAACGTTGAAGATAACCTTTCAGGAAAGTTCAAACCATCGTCCGGCCTCCTGGCATTAAGTTCATCATGGATAGCTGGAAGAAGGTAGTAGCAGGTGGTCCCAGTTTTGTCTTTGTTTTCTCAGGATGGAATTGCAAAACAAAAAACACTTAATTAATAATTTTGAGTTATTACTAGAAATTGAGGTTTATTAGAAAAGCATCTATTATATATTAATTATTTTCATTATATAAGTAATGCAAAGTATGAAGAGCAAATGAAATTATATATCATTAAAGGCTGGTTCATTAATTTTTTTAAGATACTTCGTGTGTGTATAAATGACCAATTTTGAAAATATTCATTAATATGCAGATATTTAATTTTCATAAGTTTATGTATTTACATTAATTTAAGGATCAACTAAAAAAGAGAGTTCGTATTAAAAAAAATTCAAATCAATACATAAGAGAGGTAAGATTAAGTTTAAAAAATGATAAGAGGAATAATGTATAAAACATTATTCCTCTTATCATTTTTTATTTTACAGTTTTTAAAATTACCAGCTGTGAATAAATTTGATTGCCATATGAATTTTCATATAAAATTAAAATTAAGCTAATACATTTGAATTCAGAAAATATTTTATTTTCAAAACTAAAAATATAAACTGCTGAAATGTCATGCAAGAAATTACTATTTGACAATTAAAAAAAAGTTTATTTTATATAATCCAGGGATGTAAGTATTTTATATCTATTAATTTAGTTATTTATTTCAATAGTTGAATTAATTAATTAATTAATAATAGTAAGTAGACTGATTTATATTTTAAATTGAGTAGTATTTATTATAAATGCAATTCCATCCTGAGTCCCAATCCAACTGTCCAGGTACTAGAAGATGCAACAACCAGGAGGCCACATTATTATTATTTTGTATATGACCTACAGATGTCCTTTTGCAGATGAGCAGTTTCACTGTTAATGGCCATGCGATTCAATCCCGAAGATGTTTGCCCACGCAGTCCCATCTGTTACCCAGTTCGTTGTCATATTTGGTGGCAGGAACTGCACCCGAATATTAGTGAATAATACCCCCACAAATGTGGGAAGAGATGGCTTACCCAGATGTATGAAGTCGGTCAGCAATGAACACTTTGCAAAACATAACAAGTGTTTCTTCATGGTGTTGGTAGTAGCATTTCAAAATCACATACGACAAGCAGTCGATCAGCTTTTACAAAGTTTTGCATAAAAACTTATTAAAAAAGAAAAAAGAAAGAAACATTCTTCGTTTTTGTAAATAATCAACACCTGGGTTTCACAGTAAGAATATAGGTTATAAATCTGCATCAAATGTTCAATTGCATCAGTATCATGGACACTTCACTCTCTAGTTGAAAGCATCATTTGAGTGTTTGATGAACAACAATGTATAATTTTTATCTATTTCAAAATAAAACTTTTAGATGTTCTGTTAATAACTGACGTTTGTTGTATATTTTTATCAAAAATTTTAAAAAAATCATATATATAAATACAATACTACAGGATATCGAGACATGTAATTTTTACTTTAAAAAAATAATACAGCTAGTAAATGGCATTAGATTATAAAAATATAAAAACATTTTCAATATTTTGTTTTATGGATCTGTAAATACTGGTGTTATACAAACTGTGCCTAAAAAGTTTTAGAACAAAATTGTAAAACATGCAGGAAAATTCTGAAAAGATACGTACATACATCATCACAAAGTGTATTTTGATGATAGTGTGGTCAATACTCATTCTCATACAGAATGTTATGTTCAGTTTCAGAGTTGAAGAATATTTCAAACAATTAAGTGCTGGAAATGCTCTCGAACAGGCTCTTAAGGATGAACTTCACCCAAACTATTTTCTGTTCTATAAAAAGATGTCTGGAGGATGGATGAATAGTGAAACACAGTAATGTTCTTTCTCCAAAATATTTCCCAGTTTAATATGATTTATGTATTTGTTCATGGTGGACATTGACCCATTTATTGAACTTAATAATGAAACAATTTGCTATCATCCAGATTTCAATTGTTTGTAATAATTGTACTGTAATTAAAAAATCATTATTAAAACTTTTCAGACACATTTTGTATATACAGAAAGAAAGCAAACAATAAAGGTTTATATCAGTGATAATTAATTTCTTCATTGTGCAACTGCATATATTGAAAGTTAAAGTTTTTCTAAATTGAATAAATATGAAGGAAACTCCTGCATGTTTGTTCAATTTTAATGAAAATTTGTTACTGGAAATCAGTCTGTAATTTCTGAGATGTGAATTTTTACTAAAAGAAATAAAGTTGTTAGTGCTTAAAATTTGCATTGTGACATTTTTTTAATTATACAGCAAATATTTACTCATACATGTTAATTTTTTTTCTGTTAAACTTAAGGGAAAATAAAAACAATTGCATGCTTCAAAATAGAATGTTGGAATGATGAAAGATATAGTCAATATTGACAAAGTAAAACGTTAAAATTTTTATTTAATTTTAATATATAAACTATATTTTTTGGCTAATTATTTATTCGTAGATATATAAGATGATTTTCAGTTCAGAATAATAATTAACAATGTTACAATTCAATTCCCTTCTTGCTCTAAAGGCGATAATGTTAAAGTAAGATGCAAAATTTTTGAAAATAAGTAGATTTTGTGTTCTATAAATTCTGTGATGAAACTAATGATTATAAATGATTAGTAGTATTTTCTGTTATGACGTATTGTTCATGGCAATAGTTGATAAATTATGAAGTAATAAACTATTGCTTCTTAATATCTGAATTAGTATCATATAATTTCAATAAAATTATCTATCGCATAAAGAATATGAAAGAGAATTACAGTAGAGCCTCGATTATCCGACACCTCGGACAAACATAATTTATACTAGTATATAAGAACTAGTAAAGTTCTTCGAATCTGTATGCAACGCAACATTTAAGGAATTACTTTATTAATTAATGCGATAAGAACGTTTTTGAAGACAGTCCTCGTCTCAACTTCGGATCCACAGGCAAGTTGAGAGCAACATTCTGTGTGTATCCAAAGATAACGTTTCGAGATAGATCGTGTCTTTATCGCATTAATAAAATGAACCCTTGAATGTTTGTTATCTTGTGGTTGTGTGCTCTAAATTTTCAAATTTTGCGTACATAAGTAGCTGACAATTAGACTGAAAGGTATCGGTAATAATGAAGAAAAATGGTACAGATACTCTCCCATATCCGGATTGATCAAAGAACTAAAAATTTTCGATAATATTAGACACTATTCCGAATCTTACCTTTCCATGCAAAGTTTAAAAATGTATAGTGTGTACTATACATTTTTAAACTTTTTAAGATTGACACGAAGTTCGTAGAAGAGCACAATTGCATCGACCACCGCTGACGGATAATGATGAGGCATTGGCATTATGCAGCAGCGAATGGAGGACAAAACACAACTTTAACATAATACTTTTAAAATTAATTGAGGCTTATTTTTGACAATTAAAGTCAAAATAACATTTCTGTTACATACAGTACTTATATACAATATATAGTCTTATTTAAAATTCTCACTCATCCGGATTTTAATTTCCGGATCACTCGCTGACATTAGTTCGGATACGGGAAAATCAATATTTTTCCTATTAGAAAAAAAAAAAAAAAATTGAAACTTTATAAAAGTTTATTTCTATTACAGTGGAACCTCGGTATACGCCCTTTATCCGTTCCCGATGTTTGGACTTATGCCGAATAGGACGTATACCAAACCAACCTTTCCCATAAGAAGTAATGTAAAAATGATTAATCCGTTCTCGTGTAAAAAATGGCTGGCTTTAAACACCTCGCTTTCCTGGCTAGTTCCTGCTTGATTTTTCGTGAGATCAGCGTGTATCTTTTTAGCTTTCTCGCAAATAATTGCTTCCGATACGCTGTCTCCAGCACTGTTTTTCAGTTATCCAAAGCAAAAGCAATTTCTCGACATGATCTAATGTCTTCGATCTCTGTTTAGAAATTGATTTAACCCCTTTCGCAACGTTAGCAGGTTTAATAATGTCTTTATTTTTCGCGATTGTCCATATCGTCGTTCTCGGAATACGGTTGGCAACAGTTTAAATCTCGAACGCGCGTGCCACCTTCGTATTTCTCAACAATCTCTTTCATCAGTTCCATTGTAATTCTAGTCATTTTTTTAGTTTTCTGTCGCTTTTCATTTGCCTTTTTGCGATTCGTGATTAATAAAAGTAATAAAATTTTACTTAAGAATTAAAATCAGAAGAAATTTAACAAAGTTATAAACCGTTGCACCGCGAACGTCTAGTCTGGTCTAGTACACCGATAGTGCTACTTGTTCATTGATGGCGCGTATAATTGAATTATGTCGTATACCGAACAAAAGTCGTATACC